GATTGAAATGGATCCAGAAAATCCGTTTCATCCAGCAGCGCCTGGAGTTGCCCAGCCACAACCCGCTCCAACACTTTGCCCAAATAAGGGAGGTTTGCTACTGGTCGGTAGTTAACCACCAGCCTTGGGTCCAGGTTATGCTTTTTAAGGAGTGGGCGAATTACTGCCTCTTTCAAGGTGGTAAGGACTAGTCCTTCTCTCAAAGAGGCGTTCACAGCCTCCTGGACCCAGGTGCGAGCCCTCCTGGCTGATCTTCCAATTAGCCAGGATGGGCAAGGGTCGAGTGGAGTGGTGGTAGAACGGACAGATCCAAGCACCCTGTCCACATCCTCGGGTCTCAACAATTGAAACTCATCCATTAATACTTGACCTAAGCACGGCGCACTGGACACATCCTCTGATTCTGCAGTAACTGTGGAGTCCAACCCACTGCGAATCTGAGCAATTTCCCCCTCAGAATGGATGGCAAATTCATCACAGCGAGCTGATGAGCAGTCCGGGACCTCCATTGGATTTCCCGGTTGAAGAAGATCCTGGCCCACCTGAAACAGCTCTGCTGGATGACATTCTGAGGAAGCAATACGGCTGGAAAAAAATTGCCATTTCGCCAGCCATATTGCCACGAAATAGGCCCAATAATGGGCTCTAAGTCGTGTTTGATCGGACTCCCAGCGGGATTTCCTCCACCTGCGCTCCAGCCGTCTCCCCTCTCGCTTCATAGCCTGCAGTTCAGAAGTATATCAAGGAGCTGTCTGGGCTCGGCGAGCAGGGAGAGGGCACTTAGGCGCAATTGTGTAAACCGCCCTGGTCATTTCCCTATTCCATAGGGTGACCTGAGCTTCAACTGGAGCGCCGACCATATCAGACGGATAATCCCCCAGAGCATTCAGGAATCCATCTGGATCCATTAGTCTCTGAGGGCGGATCATCTTAATAGATCCCCACCCTTGCAGAGGGGAGAAGAAGCTAACAGACTAAACTTGACCAGGAAGTGGTCTGACCATGACAATGGGGTCACAACCAGCCCCTCCACATCCAAACCACCATCTTCCAGTCCCGTTGAGAAAACCAGGTCCACGGTATGGCCCTTCTCATGCGTCGGGCTGATGACACATTGAGACAGCCCCATGGTTGTCATGGTGGCCATGAAGTCCTGAGCTGCCCCAGTCAAGGCAGCCTTGGCATGGATGTTGAGGTCCCCCAGCACCAACATCCTGGGAGTCCTCAACACCAGGTCCGAGACTACTTCCGTCAGGTCAGGCAGGGAGTATGTTGGTATGCAGCAGGATGGGCGGTATGCCAATAGAATCCCTAATCTGTCTCGCAAACCCAACACACAATACAGGCCCTCAAGACCTCCTCTCAAAGGGACAGGAAGCCTGGTCAAGGAGATAGAACTCCTATAGACTACAGCAACTCCCCCTCCCCGACCCTCATTGGTGCTGGACTATCCAGGTGGACACAGCTGGGAGAGGGGGATACCACCTTCCTTTCCCACCCAGGTCTCAGTAATGCACACCAGGATGTTACTTTTATTTTATCCATTACTCTTATTCATTCATAATTTTCCAGGATGTTACTTTTATTTTATCCATTACTCTTACTCATTTGGGTTATAGCAGAACTGACGGGCAAATCACACTAGGCATTTTGTGCTGTGATTTGTAAAATCAGTTTTGGTATTTGGTTCTATTCTGGTTCTGCAAAAGAAATTGGTTGGTTCTAGTTTTCTCTTTGGTTTCAGTTCTCTGTAGGAAGAGCCATATTGTGGAAGTGAATGCTATATTTGGAAGGAAACTTGAAAAAGATGCCTGATATCAATAGCACTTTTCCAACATATTACTTCCAAAACAGCCTCCTTCTCTGGACATTTGCTTCGACATTTGTAGTCAGATTCAAGGAAAATATCCTGATTACTTATTCTCCCCATCACTGACTTTCTCTGTTTCTATAGGTTCTAGAGTTGACTCAAAAGTACTGCAGTGAACGTGAAATTCCCTTCCCCCCAATTATTGTGAACAAAGATGATGTTGAAAACCCCAAAGAATGTTATATATTTATGGATGCCAAGAATCCAAAGGCCCCTATCATCTTACACTTCCCTCTAGTTAATCATACATTCCGTAAATACAAAGCACCAGGTAAGAATGCATTGTTAAATAGCGTATGTTTAAAATCTCACTGTTCTTCCAAGGTGGAATATTGAATGGGCTGAATGTTTTGAACTTGAACTTTGGTGTTGTCATTAAGCTGTTGCAGTGAAAATTCAAAGTTTTCTTGTTAGTTGAGGAGATGAACTAGGTGTCTTAAAAGCAGCCTGTTTAAAGGACTACAGCTTGCAAATCTGCACAAAATGTTACTCACACATACAGTGGTGCCTCGTATAACGAGTGCCCTGTTTAACGACGAATTCGCATAGCGATGGCAAAAATGCCATCGCTTTTGCGATCGTATAACGAAGGTGCCTATGGGGAAAAATCGCTTTGCGATGTTTTCCCTATAGGCACCATTTTCCCCCAGCTGAGCGGCGGGAGC